TGGTCACCTTTAAAAATTGTTCAAAGAATTTAATTCCATGCAGAACTCTGGTTGCCATGGCAACCGAAAGAAAAAACTTTAAATATCTTCTTTTAAAAAACCATAAGAGCTAGAGCTTAGATATTTGGCATGAAACATCTTCTAGTGAGTGTCTACCAAGTTTGTTCAAATAAAAGCCCTGGGGTCAAAATTGGCCCCGCCCCGGGGGGTCATTGATTTTCCCTATATGCATATAGTAAAAAGTTAAAAAATCTTCTTTTAAAGAACCCAAAGAGCTAGAGCTAAGATATTTAGCATGAAACATGTTCTAATGGGTGTCTATCAAGTTTGTTCAAATAAAAGCCCTGGGGTCAAAATTGGCCCCGCCCCGGGGGGTGATTGATTTTCCCTATATGCATATAGTAAAAAGTTAAAAAATCTTCTTTTAAAGAACTCAAAGAGCTATGGCTAAGATATTGAGCATCAAACATGTTCTAATAGGTGTCTACCAAGTTTGTTCAAATAAAAGCCCTGGGGTCAAAATTGGCACCGCCCCAGGGGGTCATTGATTTTCCATATATGCATATAGTAAAAACTTAAAAAATCTTCTTTTAAAGAACCAAAAGAGTTAGAGCTAAGATATTTAGCATGAAACATGTTCTAATAAGTGTCTACCAAGTTTGTTCAAATAAAAGCCCTGGGGTCAAAATTGGCCCCGCCCAGGGGGGTCATTGATTTTCCCTATATGCATATAGTAAAAACTTAAAAAATCATCTTTTAAAGAACTCAAAGAGCTATGGCTAAGATATTTAGCATCAAACATGTTCTAATAAGTGTCTACCAAGTTTGTTCAAATAAAAGCCCTGGGGTCAAAATTGGCACCGCCCAGGGGGTCATTGATTTTCCTTATATGTGTATAGAAAAAACTTAAAAAAATCTTCTTTGAAAAAACCCAAAAAGCTAGAGTTAAGATATTAAGCATGAAACATCTTTTAGTGAGTGTCTACAAAGTTTGTTTAAATAAAAGACCTGGGGTCAAAATTGGCCCCGCCCCGGTGGTCATTGATTTTCTTTATATGTGCATGTATAGCAAAAACTTAAAATCTTCTTTGAAAAAACTCAAATAGCTAGAGTTTAGATATTAAGCATGAAACATCTTCTAGTAAATGTCTACAAAGTTTGTTCAAATAAAAGCCCTGGGGTCAAAACTGGCCCGGCCCCAGGGGTGTCATTGTTTTTAACTATATGTGTATAGTAAAAACTTTAAAAAAATCTTCTTTTAAAAAGCCCAATGTTTAGCATGAAACATCTTCTTATGGGTGTCTACCAAGTTTGTGCAAATAAAAGCCCTTGGGTTAAATTGGCCCTGCAACATGGGGGTTGGGGGGGGCCTATATACAGGTGAGCGACCTCAGGGCCATCATGGCCCTCTTGTTTATTACAAGTGTCCAACAAATTACTACACCTTCAAACTTTTAAAGTAGTGTTGGCTTATAGAGTTGTCAATAAATGCACACTCACAAATTACGCGGATGAATATGATTTTAATCAATGAAAATGCTATTTTAGCGATGTCGATTACCGAATACTACACAAATAAATCTGACTGCCGAGTAGTGGAATACATAGATTCTACATGTTGGACTGTTTGGGCGAGAAGATTTTTGCTAAATTATTTACTGCAATTTTAAACAACATGTTTACCCTGAACGAAATACCTCGAAATTACCCTAACCCGAAATGCAATGGAAATTCTAAATTTAGAATGACTTGTTTTTATTCAGCTCATGATTATAAAACTTCCGTGGTGCAGGGGTAAAGCGCTCGTTTGATGAGTGAGAGGTCCGGAGTTCGAATCCCAGTCGGGTCCACATTTTTTTAAATTCTTTTTTTTAGTGTCTTTGTTAAAGTGACATTATGCTCATATTTTCATAGTCAAGTTGAGCTGGACTGATTTTATATTTCAAAAGATTGACTGTTAAAATGGTGATTGACCTACAGTTCATATTAGAAAAATGTTTAGGATAAAATTTAAGTATGCCTTATTTATAAAAAGACTGCCCCACTCTTTTTATGAAATGAACGTTACAGGTAAATTCTAGTGAATATTTACGAAAATTTCATTTCAATCCATGCGTTGTTTATTGTTAATGGGAAGTTAATTTTTATATTAAAAGGAATTATGGCAAAATGATAACTTATTTTAACATTCACTTGTTCACTAATTTATACCCTTGGATGGGCATAATGCCACTTTAAGGAAATAGCCACGATATGCAAGGATAAAGTGTGGCTATCATAAAAAATGAACATAAATTATTTTTTGATGCTACTCTAGTTATGCAAAATTCCGTATGTATCAAACTCTGGTGCCCTGCAAGATGACTTATAGTACATAAAAATAAACTTATACAGGAAAACACATACAGATATACAGTACGATTTAGATTCCAGGGATCAGAAAATACCACAGAGCTTGCAGCCCTTTGATTTTGATTGAGACCATGTTTCTTTAACGTTACGAAACCGACAAAAGTAACGCAGAACATGCAGTAATGTCATGGAAAGGTAGAAAAATGTAAACATTGTAGAATTTTGACTTCCATCTAATATAAATATACCAAATGCTTACAGAACAAAAGAAGCCAAAGATCTTCCTCTATATGGCAAATGAGTATTTATTTTTTTTTTTAAATTGAAACAAAATACGAAACATGAAAATTTTAAAAATAAAATAAAAATGCTAGTATTTTTGAAGCACAATGGGCTTTTAAAAAATATAATGTATTTCACATTATGGGATAAATGTCTTGTGAGACTGTACTTGTAGGGTAAAAAAATGCTGATTGGGTAAGCACAGGTTGCTTATATGGGGTGTGAGAGATCAAAGAAGATCTAAGGAAAAAATTGAACAAAAAAAAAAAACTCAAGAAGAATTTATATGTCTTTGTGTCCAATAGGCAATTGGTTTCCCCTTAATAACTTTTCTTTCAAATGATTGTGTTTATATTTGAGAAGTTATCATGTCATGTCAAAGGATAGCTTTAAATTAATAAGATTTTTCCAAGCAATTGACTCATACATGACAACAAGAACTATGTGACATCATGATTTTATGACATCATTAATGAGGGCGCATGTCGTTGTTTGGCAAAAGTCAAGAAAAAAAGATTAAAACCGATAAAAAAGGATGGAATGAATGGAATTTTTTTGTTTTCATGCAAGATCATAATATATTTGTTAATTTATAGTCACAAAACAATTTTTCTATAAATTGAATTAATGATATTATGATATATCTTTTAAATTTGCAAAATGTCTAATGTGTTAGTAAATAACTTTCAATAACATCATGTATTTTTTACCAGTACCTATTTAAATTAAAAATAATAAGAGACTTAAAGCTGCATGCCTGCAGATGAACCAAAATATTTCAATAAAGCCAAACCAAACAAAAGTATTCAGATTTTAAGAAAAGTATAAAGATTCAAGATAAAAGTTATAATTTCCATGTTATGTGCGAATTATGACCGATTTTGCAGTATTTTTCAACCTTAGTTCTATTGCATTACTAATGCAGTAAGGGCTATTTTAGCATATTTTGACCTCTTTTTGGTAATTAACACGGGTTGTAAGTACTGTTTACAATTTTCTTTTTTCACTTCACAATGTTTTACTTAATAATACATTTTCAAATTTTTCATGAAAATTAGCATGAATCTGGAGGCATGCTGCTTTAAAGGATAGTAAAATTCCTATAATGGTGGGTTAAAGCAGTCCTTTAATTGTACATCAACAAGGATGCATTCACAACCCAAGCATGCATGCAATGCTTTCTAGCACAAAGTACCATATGTTCATAATTTTATTTTTTTGCGTCATTGCATTCAGTTAATTTTAAATGGTGCCCTGAGTCCTGCATATAAAAAACTTGCAACATTGGCTTTTGCCTCAACATGGGGATTAATATTAAGAATCTGCAGATTTCACTTTTAAGAATTTGTATAAACACAAAAGATATGACTAGAATGAAAATTATTACCCGATTTGTGTGTTTGTATGAGATAATAAGTCAAGGTTGCTATCACTAAATGTCTTGTACCTACTATATATTTTAGTAGGGTATAAATTACTTTATGCAAATATGTAACAATATCAAATTATAGTTATATATTATGGTCTTAGAACAGCCCGAAACCCGCAAATATCCCTTAAAAAATATTATTTAAGAAATTAATTTTACTTTCAAAAAGTAAACATATATTCTAACTTGATAGATAAAAGATATTCTTAACTTTCAAGTTATTGCAAAAGTAATCTATCTTAAGATAGAATAGTTTTGCACAAGATTTAGAAATCAAAGGGACATATTTTATAGTGTTAAAGTATTCTAACTCAAGATAGAATAGTTTTGCACAATAAATATTCTGAAAAAAGTAGCTTTTCTAGTGCAATACTAGGCTATGTTAGCATGTAGGCAATAAAATGCATATTTTACACTTTTCTTGAAAAAATGAACATGTACACAACTTACTTCTATTTTTTGATAAGATTGCTGTTGAATTTTTTTTCAAAAAATGAAATCAAAATAAAATAACATAATTTTTCCCTTTCCTGAAAATTTTTCAAAATACAAGTTAGAATAGTCTTGCGCCGAGCCCTCGATGTGAACTCTCCCAATTTGAGATGGAGACTCCCTCTTTCTCCTGTCAAATTTTTAAATATCTTTCTTAGAATAAGTGTTGTTTTTAAAAAATAAAGAAATCTCCCTCTTTTTCATTTCAAAAATTTCCTACTATGTCTATTGTCAATTAAAAAATCTCCCTCTTTTGGAAGTAAATTCTCCCTCTTGAACATTGAAAAAGTTCACACATAATTATGTTGACCCATTACTGATAAGAGATTTGCCCCCTTATTAGCAAATTTTTTGTGAAAATATTGTTTTTTGCATGTACATTTTTGAAGGATTTCAATGATTGTGTGTAAGTATGATATTTAAAAAATGTTCTCTAATTTTTCAGGTGTTGATGTTTTCGTAATGTAATTGTTGGCAAGTTGGCAAGAAAAATGAGCTCAAATAACAACAACAACTCCTCCTACCTGGAGGTGAGCGGCCAGGAGGCAAGTGACATCTTGGCTGCTGCTTTACAACAGATGGACGGAATTATTGCAGGTACTTAAGAGCCTTTTGTATAATGACAGGTATAGTGACAAATGAGCCGAGTCACGACAAAATCAACATAGAGTGTTTGCGACCAGCATGGATCCAGACCAGCCTGCGCATCCACACAGTCTCATCAGGATCCATGCTGTTCGCTATCAGTTTCTCTACTTGTAATAGGATTGGTAAGCGAACAGCATGGATCCTGATCAGACTGCGCGGATGCGCAAGCTGGTCTGGATCCATGCTGGTCGCAAACCCATTATGTTGGTTTTGTCATGAAGCTGCTCAAATGGATAGTTAAGTTATCAGGCCACCTCATTGTTCTTCTAGTTCTTTTGCCACATAAGTGATTTTAGCCAGGAAACAGCCTTTACTGAATGAATAAGATCAAAGCTATTGTTCTTACTTGCCACATTTGTAACCAATTTAATGCTTGGCTATAATTTACATGAGGTTTAAACTTCCTCAGATTTCAGGATTTTCATTGGTCAATGCACATTGTGTGATCAAATATCTTAGTTCTGAGTTTAAACTCAGAAGATTTCTTGAAAACCTTAGACTTTGATCAGTGTCAGTGTGTTAATGTTCAATAACATAGAAATTGACAGTAGTGATTACATTGTACTTCAAATTATAATTGTTCAAATTAGTTATGAAATTTAGCAATTAAATACTTTATTATTGTGAATTCACTTGATTTTTGTGGAAATGAAATTTTGCAGCTTAATTTCCATGGGTTAAAAATTTGTGAATAAAGTAAATGCAACATCCCAAGAAATAATTTTTTTTTTGTTTGATTTTCAATTTGAGGTTTGACCTTCCCAGGAAAACCACAATAATTACTGCCCCACAAAGAAATATGCTTTTGCAGAAAGACAATTTTAGTTTGAAAAGATGTAATAATATCATTTTGAATAAATGGTCTTGAAACATTGGTCTTTTTAAAGTGTGATTTCTTGTTGTGGCAAAAGACTCCACCAATCTGTTCCTCAGGTGGATTGGGATGTTCGTGGCCGAGTGGATAAGGTCATTGACTTCAAACTGTTTGCTCCTTACCAATGTGGGTTCGAACTGGACAGTGACTTTGAATTCTTTCATGTGAGAAAGCTATCTATCTAGCTTACGGAATGTCGGTGGTTCTATTCAGGTGCGCGTTCATGACTGACATAATGTACAGAAGGCTAACTTGAGGTCCAGTAAAGCTGGAACTTCGCAATATCACCTATATTGTGTTGGTGTGGGATGAAAAACACAGACAAACAAATCCTCATGTGAATTATTTATAATCCATACAGCCTATTAAGATATGATGCAAAATGGAAAAATCTTGTTTTTATACCCCCGTACAACAAAGTTGTAAGGGGGGTATACTGGAATCAGCTTGTCCGTCTGGCCGTCCGTCCGTCTCCCCGTCCGGCCTCAGTCGGTTTTTCCTTGTCCACCCAATAACTTATAAGATTCCTTTGACCACAGTCTTCATATTTAGTATTTAGATTGGTCATGATTAGCAGATGATCCCTATTGATTTTGAGATCACCAGGTCAAAGGTCAAGGTCACATGGAACTTGACAAAAGCTTGTCCACCCAGTAACTTAAGATTTCTTTGACCCACAGTCTTCATATTTGGCATAGAGGTTGACCATGACCATTAGATAACCAATATTGATTTTGAGGTCGGTCATCAAGTCAAAGGTCACAGGGGCCTTGACTAAAAAAAGCTTGTCCGCCCAATAACTTATGATTCCTTTGACCCACAGTCTTCATATTTGGCATGAAGGTTAGTCATGATTAGTAGATGACCCCTATCGATTTTGAGGTCACTGGGTCAAAGGTTAAGGTCACAGGGACCTTGAAGATAAAAAGCTTATCTGCCCAATAACTTAAGATTCCTTTGACCCACAGTCTTCATATTTGGCATAGAGGTTGGCCGTGACCATTAGATGACCAAAATTGATTTAGAGGTCATCAAGTCAAAGGTCACAGGGGCCTTGACTAAAAAAAGCTTGTCCGCTCAATAACTTATGATTCCTTTGACCAACAGCTTTCATATTTGGCATGGAGGTTAGTCATGATTAGTAGATGACCCCTATCGATTTTGAGGTCAAAGGTTAAGGTCACAGGGACCTTGAAGATAAAAAGCTTATCTGCCCTATAACTTAAGATTCCTTTGACCCACAGTCTTCATATTTTGCATGGAGGTTAGTCATGATTAGTAGATAATCCCTATTGATTTTGAGGTCACTGGCTCAAAGTTCAAGGTCAGAGGGACCTTGAAGATAAAAAGTTTGCCCACCAAATAACTTAAGAAACCTTTGACCCACAGTCTTCAAATTTGGCATGGAGGTTGATCATGACCATTAGGTGACCCCTATTGATTTTGAGGTTACTGGGTCAAAGGTCAAGGACACAGGAGCCTTGACTAAAAAAAGCTTTTCAGCTTAATTGCATAAGAATGTTTTGGTCAACAGTTTTCATATTTGGTATTGAGGTTGTTTATGACTTGTACGTGACTGTGTCAAATGTCAAGGAATCAGGGAATTTTACTTAAATAACCTTGTCTGCTCAAATGCTTAAGAATGCCTGTCTACAGTGTATTGATTTTGACATTTTCACATTTGAAGCATGTAGAATACATAACTTAGCAATGCACTGGCTTAGTGATCTCAGATTTAGCAGGGAGGTTGTCCTTGAGCTCTAAATGGCCACTGTTGATTCTGACAAAATAGAGTTAAATAAAAGAATCCCTAAAGAAAGCCCAATGCACCAAAATTGAAAATGTTGCAGGCTAGGTTTGATTGAGCCTGTTCATGGACGGTACTGTCATGTGCAAACTACCGTCCACACCCCCTAGCACCGGCTTTAAAGCAGAATTCAACATTTAACATGAACTGGTGAAATTTAGAATTTTGAAACATCTGCAGATGTTTTCTGATGATGATGTGGCGATTATCATGGAACCTTCAATGTGACACGTTAGTGCCATTCCATGAAAAGCTGCATATGGTCCCAATGTAAAAGTGGTATGAGGGGGTATTCATGCCATGACAGTGGCAGTTCTAGTTTATATTGATTTTAATGCAATTTATTTTCTTTTCGGCAGTCCATCTACCTAGGGAACTAGCTTACCCAGATAACTATAACTAGTAATTACCAATTCATCCGGACTGACTTATTCCACATGATTGCCAGTTAATCCCACACGATTTGTGAATCATTGGTGAGAGGCAAATGACCTTTTACACTCAATGTCACATAGAAATGTTGCCTTGCCCAAGGATAAATTACAAATCTTATGCTTTCCCTATTGACCTAAGGGCTGACAAAAGCAAAACGTAATTATTGTGTTACAAAGGCTGCTTTGATGGTTATAAGGTCAATGGTCAAGGTTGCACAAATTCTCCCTTCTTGATAATTCAAAATATTTAAAGTCATTTTGATATTCTCATGTTTCATATTTTTTTGTTTTTTAAAGGCACAAAGTTTGACAGCAGTAGTGGTAGTAATGGGTTTGGATCTTTAACATCAACTCCGGAGAACACTTTAAAACATCGTAGTAACGTAACTGAGGCACGTATCATAAAACTTGTAGACGATTTAAAATTGGCATTAGAACTGTGTGACGATAAGCAACAGATTATACGCAAACTTCCTGACGATGTCCTCACTGCTGTTGTTGCCTGGTTACAAAGTGGGAAAGAAGAGGCCAGCAAGGTAAGACCACTGTTTTTGTCTTATTTTAAGGCAAATGAGTAATTTAATTTTATCCAAAGGGGTGGGGAAATAAAATCACGTGTACCGAAAAAAATGAGTTGGTGACCCCCTAATTTTTTTAGTCATTTAGACTGAGTATACATTTTAAAGGATGTTTAAACTTTGGTCAACTTTGATGCCGTGTGTACAAAAATTGGCTGAAACTATTGAAATAAAATCAACGGAACCTAATTAGAAATATGGTCAACTTTTTGCATGCCAATTTTCAAGACGCTACTCGAAAGTTCGCAAAGTGTCGCGTTGTACCTTAAGGATTGGTAACCCCAATGAATCTCTAAATATCGGCTCCTGTCAGCGTAAAATTGTTATAACTCGGCAGTCGTTCTGACACCCTCTTTCAACAGTTATGGTATACCTATCTTTAGATCATTTTTTGTAAAATGATGCAGGATTTTAGTCTGTGCTATCATTATTTGAGAAAATGCATATTGTGCTTGCATGGATTACAAACTGTAACATGGTTATATAAAATGTTTGTAACCAGTCATTGTATCAACATGAATGTTATTTTGTCAGAAAATCAGAAAAAATGTATGAAATGAATGAAAGGCTGAGGTACATCATAATTGCAGAACATCATAATATGGCTTGGGCTATGTATAAAAGTATGCCAGCATACCTTGTAGAATATTATCAACACATTTTTAAAGGAACAGTTAACTGCGTCAATAAATAATGATTTTATATTGCTTTTAAATGTGCACATCCACGACACCCGGCACACGTTAGAAAAGCACTGTTAGTCATCATATATTTTTGCTAATAATCTAAAAAATTAACGCAGAAAACCCGCTAAACATCGCATGTTTATTCCAGGACGTCAATTAAGTATTTTTTTTAAATTGTAGACGTCATTTCCGTTAATTTTTGTTGATATCTCTAGAAACACTAGATATTGATTACAACGTGAAAAATGAAGGACAGGCAGAAAAAAGAAAATGGCGCACTCATAAAATTTTATTGTAATTTGGGAATGACATCTACAAAAACATTTGAAAAAAAAATCAACAGGCCAACAGAGAAAATTTAAATTTCACGATCATTAGTGTTTAAGTTGCATAAGAGATTTAATGATACATGGGGAAACGGACATAACTTTGAGAAGCAGTAACGGTCATTGACTAAATAACGTTGAAGCACAAGTTGTACGCTATTATGACGTTGACATTAATAACTTTTTGGAGTGCGCCGCTGTCGCCGACATGTGTTTATGTAAAATTAAATATATCTGTATTATAAGAAGCTACTAACATGTATCTTTCTATGTTTATTTGATATAAATTCTTCTAGGCAGTGTAAGAATTTCAAATCAGTATCTCAAATATATTTTACACAGCAAAGAAAATCGACGAATTTTTGGATAACCCCTTGTACACTTAAGAAAAATCAAGTTTTTGTTTGAATATATCATCTGGCAAGTGTATCTTATAAAAAAATAACATTTTAAAAAGAACAATACCACAAAACAATGACAAAGTAAGGGTTGAAGTAACATTTTACAAAAAGATATAAGGTAAAAAATAGTTAGCTAATAAGGTCCAACTTTGTCATGATTGTGAATTTTCAACAGAATTGTCAACAGTCTGATGCATGGACTCTGTTAATTGGGATGGGTCATTTGTTATTTTGAATGGGTTTGTTAGGCATACCAATAAGATAAGGAAAAAAAAAGTCGGAGGAAGTGCAGTGTCAGAAAAAACATAAATGCATTACTTGGTTTGTGAATTTTTTTCCTTTATAATACTTATATGATGCTTCAAACTTGGATATAAAAGTAGCGGTCAACACAACACACAGTGATAGAGATAAGTTAGAGGAAGTGCAGTGTTGAAGAATAATAATTTTACTTTTTTAAGCTTGACTAGTATTCAAAGAAGGGTAGGGCCATTTTACTCACATGGACGTTTGAGCTGGTGTTGGCGTTGGCGTAGCACTTGCATGCAACATTATATCTCCTCAACCACTTATGATATTTGCTTGTGACTTCACACACTTATTTTACAGCATAAGAAAAGGACACAATCCAAGGCCTATAACTCTAGCATGGTTTTTGACAGAATTATGGTCCTTTATGAACTCAGAAATTTGTTGATTAAAGTTTTGCATGCAACATTAGTCTTATAATGTGATGAAGGTTTTCACTTGAAACTTTAGATCATAAACAGAGGTAACTGTCAAAGGTTCATAATTCTGACATATTTTTGACAGAATTTGGCCCTTTTTGAGCTTTAAGAATTTTTAGCTCATCAGAGCCAAAGGCTCAGGGTGAGCTATTAGAATCAAAAGGGGGATTCTCCGGCGTCCGTCATCCCTCGTCATGCGTCAACAATCGTCTTCTTCTCTGAAACTACTAAGCAGATTTACTTCAAATTTGGTCTGTAGCATCCTTGTGACAGTCACACTTGAATTTTTCATGTCATTCCAATTGGCCCCTTTTAGGGGTCTGCATAGCTAAAAATAGAAAAACCTTTAAACATCTTCTTCTACAGAACTAATGGATGGATGATCACCGAACTTTGTAGCATTCTTTGGTAGTCCTTTATCAAGTTTGCTCATATTAATTTGATTGGCCCCTTTTAGGGGTCTCTAGGGCTAAAAAATAGAAAAACCTTTAAACATCTTCTACAGAACTAATGGATGGATGATCACCAAACTTTGTCTGTAGCATTCTTGGGTAGTCTTTTAAGTTTGCTCATATGAATTTGATTGGCCCCTTTTAGGGGCCGCTAAAGCTAAAAATAGAAAAAAACCTTTAAACGTCTATTTCTACAGAACTAATGGATGGATGATTACCAAACTTTGTCTGTAGCATTCTTAGGTAGTTTTTAGCTCGACTATACGAAGTATATGGAGAGCTGTCCTACTCGCCCCGGCTTCGGCGTCCGCGTCCGCGTCCAGATTTTAGATTAAAGTTTTGGTGCAGTAAAATATTTTTCACTATAACTTTGTCATTTCTTAAGGTATCAACTTCAAACTTCAAATATATGTTCCTTATCATCAACCACATCTTATGTGACAAGGTTCATAGCTCTAGCACCAATATTTTCAGATTTATCTCCCCTTGAACTTAGAATTTTCCTTAAAAAATACTATTTTTTACTGTTACTTCTTTATTTCTTATGGGATCAACCTCATACTTCAAATATATGTACCTTATCATCATCCCCATCTTATGTGACAAGGTTCATAACTCTACCAACAATATTTTCAGATTTATCTCCCCTTGAACTTAGAATTTTCCTTAAAAAATACTATTTTTTACTGTTACTTCTTTATTTCTTAAGGGATCAACCTCATACTTCAAATATATATACCTTATCATCATCCCCATCTTATGTGACAAGGTTCATAACTCTAGCACCAATATTTTCAGATTTATCTCCCTTTTAACTTAGAATTTTCCATAAAAAATATTATTTTTTACTGTTACTTATTTATTTCTAAAGGGATCAACTTCATACTTCAAATATATTTACGTTATCATCATCCACATCTTATTTGACAAGGTTCATAACTCTAGCACCAATATTGCAAGAATTATCTCCCCATAAACTTAGATTTTTTTACTAGAAAAATGTTATATTTTATTATAACTTTTTTATTTTTAAAGGGATCTACCTCTAATTTCAAATACTTATTCCTTATCATAAATTACATTTTATGTGACAATGTTCATAACTCTTGAAGCAATATTTACAGATTTATCTCTCTTTGAACTTAGGATTTTCTTTAAGAAATTTAATAACTTCTTTACTTTTTAAGGTATCTACTTCAAACTTCAATTATATATTTCTTATCATTACACAAATGTTGTGTGGCAAGGTCCATAACTCTAGCATGACTATTTCTAGAATTATTCCCCTTGATCTTGGAATTTATGTTAACAAAGTTTTTTTTTTACTATAACTTAATACATAATTATACATAATTTATTTTTCTTTCATAGTTTTGTCCTCCTTACTGCGTCCAGTATTTTATTAGTCGAGCTTGGCTGTCTCCTGTGACAGCTCTTGTTTATCAAGTTGCTAATATTATTTTGATTAGCCGCTTTTAGGGGTCACTAAAGCTAAAAATAGAAAAACCTTTAAGCATCTTCTCCTACAGAACTAATTGATGGATGATCACCAAAATTTGTCTGTAGCATTCTTGGGTAGTCTTTTATCAAGTTTGCTCATATGAATTTGATTGGCTCCTTTTGGGGGACGCTAAAACTAAAAATAGAAATACCTTCAAATGTCTATTTCTACAGAACTAATGGATGGATGATCACCAAACTTTGTCTGAAGCATTGTTGGGTAGTCTTTTATCAAGTTTGCTCAAATTATTTTGACTGGCCCCTTTTAGGGGCTGCTAAAATTAAAAATAGATATATATTTAAACGTCTATTGCTACAGAACTAATTGATGGACGATCACCAAACTTTGTCTGTAGCATTTTTGGGTAATCTTTTATCAAGTTTGCTCATATTTATTTGATTAGCCCCTTTTAGGGGCCACTAAAGCTAAAAATGGAAAAACCTTTAAACATCTTCTTCTTCAGAGCCAAATGATGGATGATCACCAAACTTTGTCTGTAGCATTCTTGGGTACTCTTTTATCAAGTTTGCTTATATTAATTTGATTAGCCCCTTTTAGGGGCCACTAAAGCTAAAAAAAGAAAAAACCTTCGAACATCATTTCCAACTGAAATAATTGATAGATGATCACCAAACTTTGTAGCATTCATAGGTAGTCTTTTATCAAGTTTGCTCATATTAATTTGATTAGCCCCGTTTAAGCTAAAGCTTAAATACCCCAGGTCATGGCATTTCTTCAAATCATTGTTTAAACAGTCATATTTAATATAAGAATATATTGACATTCCAAGACTGAAAAGCAGTTGTTTCTGATGAGCGACTCGGGGCCATCATGGCCCTCTTGTTTTTGTTTCAGTATTGCATGCAACTTTATGCTTCAAAATAACTAAAGGTATGGATTTTGAAT